TCAGTCAAGCTTCTGTCAATGAAATACGTAAAAGTATCTATTTATAGGTTGAAATGAAGGATAAGCGATCCTATGCGTGTATGTAAAACCGAACCAGCAGCTCTGTGGGAGAAGGATGTGGCAGGCTGCTTCTCTAGTGTTTCAGCCTTGGAAAGCCTTTGGAGAAGTTCTGCTCTGTCCTCTAGGGTCGCTGCGTTGGAACTGACTCGACAGTAACGGGTATGTATGTATGTATATATGTTATATAACACACATTCACACATGTATACTTTCACATAAAGTAAAATGTTCACTTACACTTCATTTCTAACACATACATGTTCACTCTCCCCAAATCTTCAGGAAATCCCATTTTCTTCGGAATACCCTGTAAACTCTTCAGTGCGGACTTTGAAGGTTTGTGCCATGTTCTCCCAGCTATCCTTTCCAGCCTGAGCATCACCTGCCCACACTCCAAGCTGCTCCGGGTTCCTCCTCCCACCTGATGCCTCGTGTCACGCCTCCAGGCCTTTGCTGGCTCGGACTGCTCCCCAGTGTATGAAAAGTCTGTTCGTCTTTAAGGTTCTCGTTGAAAGTCACCTTCGCTATGGAGCCTTCCTTAACCTGCCCGATCAGAATGAATCCCCCTGTTTTCAGTACCTCCATGGCACTTTGCTTAGCATTATATCACTTCTCGTGGTTTAACTGGTGTGGTTCCTCAGGACAGGTGCTTCTTCCCTATTGAGTCTCTGATGTCTGAGACTATTTCACGTACGAATGAATCCCCTAAAAAAGCACATGCTCGTATCCCCTTCACCTTGAACAGAACAAACACTCAATAAAGCCTTGCTATATTGAATTATTCTTATCATAATTTCTGCATAATACCAAGAACAGTCTGGGCACATAGCAGTTAATCAATACACGATGTTGACTGATAGGGTCAATTCTTGGAAGGAGGATTTAAAAACTTACTGCCTGGTTTTAGTGATAATTAAACTAAAGTGATGTATCTTGATAAAGAAAAAAGATGCAGCTTACTCTCTAAATTGTTCCTACACTGAATTGGACTTAAGTAACAGACATTTTAATGTAACAAAACAAGCAGCTGAGTCTTTAGTTTTAATACATTTTAGTTTGCAGTGATTCTCCTGGAATAAAACTATTCGCACTTGAGGAACACACACACACAAAATATTGGCAGTCAATCCTTAGGGTGTAGACAAAAATTTCACTGTGTACTCAAGACTCAGTTATTTACTGCTTCTTACCGTCTCTGTGCCAGACACTGAAGAGGCACTCGATCATAAGGATGAGTAAGATACAGGCGCTGGCCTTAATGTGTTTATAGTACGCTGGGAATCCAGATCTCAAAGGAATCTGGGGTTTGGCCTTCAGATAAATCGGTACTAATCAGCTCTATAGGAGCTCTGGTAGCATAGTGGCTAAAGCACTTGACTGCTAACCAGAAGGCTGGCGGTTCAAACCCACCAGTCACTCCTCGGAAGGAAGGTTGGGCAATCCTACTTCCGTAGTGATCCTGCCGTAGTGATCCTGCCGTAGTGATCCTGCCTCGGAAACCCAAGGAGGGGTCGCTATGAGTTGGGGCCGACTCGACGGCACATAACAACAACAATCAGCTCTATACTGACGAATCCAGAGGTCCTTTAAAATGTACTTTCTTGAATTCAGATATGTATGTGTCAATACATACAAAACCAAAATTATAACAATATTTTATTTTGAAAATCACTAGGGTGAGGCAAGACATGTGCTTAAGGTACAACATTTTGGAGCGCCCACTCTCAGGGTCATGAAAGTGCAGGGTCAGTCTTTAAAAGCAGTGCCTTTTTCAATTTTCCACCATAGGCCCCTCTCCCGCCCTGCCCTGCTATGATTGTTTAAGGAAATAATGTTTTGATGTTACAAAAAACAACACTTCGTACAAATGTTTTATAAATTACTGATTTATAAAAAGTGGAACCGTGAGGTCATAGGGAAATTAATTATTATGCAAAAAGATGGTTACTTTGGGGAGGAAGGGGTGGGTACTAAGGGGAAAGGTAAGATGAAGTAGAATTGGAGTCTTAAGATGATTACCAAGTTAAAAGCTTCTGACTATTCAGATCAGACACCATTCTACTTTCATAATGATTATTCCTACTGATTTCAAATAACTTCTTTTTTGGTATTTTTCTAAGATCAAAACTAAACGAACTAACGAACCACCAGTTAAGTTATAAGCCATTGTCAATCCTCTCTCAGGACCATTTTGGGAGTTAGTACCTGATGATTCTCTTCCTAATTTCTTAGTCTATTACTGATGGTTGTTGTTGTTGTTATGTGCCCTTGAGTCGGCCCTGACTCATAGTGACCCCTCCTTGGGTTTCTGAGGCAGTATCACTATGGAAGTAGATTGCCCAACCTTCCTTCCGAGGAGTGGCTGGTGGGTTTGAACCGCCAGCCTTCTGGTAAGCAGTCAAGTGCCTTAGGATTAAATAAGGAGATTCTGAATGCATCTAACCTACAGGTATGTAACTGTATAACCGAACCAAGTATCTAGATAAACTAGTTGCTCTGAAAACCCGTGTCATATTTAGTGCATTATTAAATACAGGTGATAGATGACTTAGATTTTAAAAGGCACAGACATTAAGTGAAAATGGCTTTCCTGTTACATCAAAATCATGAGAACTTGAAATCAGCCTATTATTATGCATTATTGTTCCCAGTAAAACAATGGACAATTTCAGGTGAGCGTGTGAAGGAGCTCTTTGAAGAGTTCCGAATAAACATAACAGGGTACACCTGGGGTCACACTTTCACCCATGTTGACTGCATTCTATTACTTCTCTATACATTTTTTCAGATGTTAAGGAGCTAGCATTCATATCTTACAGGTTGGTGGTAGATTTCTTCTCCTTTCAATTTCCTTTTAAATTCAAAATTTTTACCTACCAAAGTGTTAGGTAATGGAACTAAAAAGTTTGCATACAGCTCTCAAAAGAGCCTCGTAAAGTTTGATTGTAAATGTGGCTTGTATCTAAAATTATTTGTTACAGCTCGTAAATTAGGTTTTGCATATTCTATAGCAATAAGGGAAACAAAATCATTCCAAGTTGCCAGAAATGGTGAAACTCATGTGGAAAGATGTTTACAAAGGCTAATAAAAGGCTGAGGCTGCTCTTAGAATAACAAGCCTGGATTTCCAAAGTAAAACATTTAAAATCATAAAAAAATCTTAATGAAAATACTAGGGAATAAAATGATTCCAATAACAAAATGACTCTAAATTACTTGACATCTCCCCTATATCAAAACATCTATATTTGTAGACTATGTAGAAATTTTCTAAATCATAATTCTCAATAACTCATAAAAAGTTTAAATCATCAATTGAAAGTAAGTTATTTAAATTTATAATTGAAGTCAACTGAGAACACAGTTAAAAACTGGTTTTATCACTGGTGTGCCTTCCAAAAGTTTTTCCCCTAAATGTGATGCCTACAACCCAGACCTCCGTAAAAAAGTAAAATCCAAACTTAGGAAGTTCATGAAGAATATCACCCTTCTGGAGTTGAAAATAATTTTCCATGACATTAAGAAATCCCTAAATTAATTTCCTTGCCACAGCTCATGCTAGCATACATATAACTACACATGCATACCACTATGCTGACATTTCCTTATTTAGACGCCCCCAAAAAAACAGACTTAACACTCATTGGCCCAAAACGTTCACTTGGATTAACTACTTAATCTGTGTTAGAGAGAGCAAGATCCTTAATTACAGCCATACTTTTTAAAAAAACACTGCAATCTAAATGTTTAGTTATCTGAAGTCTTGAGTAAACAGTTCAGATAAACACAATTTATGTAAACTTTTCTTATCCTTTATTGAGTGCTTGTCTTGTAGGCTCTTTGAATCATCTTTCTCAGGGTCAAAGGTTGAATAATTGAGATTTTATAAAAATGCTAAACATCTGTCATGGATTTAATTGTGTCTCCCAAAAATATGTGTCAGCTTGGCTGAGCCATGATTCTCAGTGGTTCGGCAGTTACGTAATGATGCAATCTGGTAGTTATGTAATGACGTAATCGTCCCCCATGATGTGATCAGCCAATCCACGTAAGGGGATGAGAGTGGGATGCATACCCTTTCTCAGGTCACAGCCCTGATCCAATGTAAGAGCAGTTTCCTTGGGGAGTGCCTGCATCACCTTTAATCTTACAAGAGGTAAGAGAGAAGGACCCACTACAACCAAGAAAGAAGAGCCAGGAGCAGAGCACCCCCTTTGGACGTGGGGTCCCTGTGCTGGGAACCTCTTTGGCCCAGAGGAAGGCTGATGCCAAGACACATGGAGATCTCCAAGGAATGCCAGGCCCAAAGATGCTGAAAGGAGACAAGAACTTTCCTCCAGAGCTAACAGAGAGAGCAAGCCCTCTCCTGGAGTGGGACTCTGAGTTTGGACTTCTAGCCTTCTGAACTGTGAGAATAAATGGGTTAAAGCCGTCCTTGTGTGGTACTCCTGTTACCAGATAACTAAGACCAATGTCACAATTATAAACCCAAACCCAAAAGACACTAGAGCAAATTTGGGATTCATTTTTTATTTAAGTATACATCTCATATAAAAGTTTTAGCCCATAAGTAGGCCCCATATTCAATAATTTTAAAGATACACAGTAAGTTTTATATAATGCTTTCAATCTAGTTTATTTATTGTCATGAACCCTTCTGGTCCCTGGACCTGCCTTTGTTTCCTTCTCTAACCTCCACCGGGAGGGGCAAGGCATTAAGGATGCCAGGGAGGCCCAGTGTCAGTGATCACTGACCACGCTGAGAGCCACCCAGCACCATGAGCACGTGATCCAAACATCAATGAAAAAATAAGCTACACAAGTGACCCTCATGAGGTTTCTCACCTGAAGTGACAAAGTCTTTCACCTAACTAAAGATTTAACTATTAACACATGACAGCTAAAGTTACTTAATTATCTCTCAATCTTATGAGGTATCATCAATATCCAGCTTCCAACTTCCAATCTCTAAAATACATCTCCATGGTCCTCCTACTTCTCGAGGTGCCGACATTTACGGTGGGAATGATCTTCTGGGGCTTCAGCCACTGGACGAAACGTTTCATCTCTAGGTAGCTGCTATGTTCACTGTAAGGGATGCCTGCAACACAACAAAGATACTTAATAATATGCCAGTTTAGAGATTCCTACTGATTGTAACCTTTCTTCTATTCAGACAATTCTTCCTTTTAGGCACCTTGTTCAGCTATGGCTTTCAGGAAAAGAGAAATTCTGAAAAAGTCGAAGAATGATGAGTGGGAGATTCTCAACTCTCACCACCAGAAAGCAGATTCCACATCAAGTAAGTGTTGCACACACAAAAATAAGCTACACACGCTATAACTTCTCTTCTTCATCTTCACTGAAGATCAAGCCCATAAAAGAAAGAGATAGAGGGTCCTCAGTGGTTAAAAGTCACTCACATCACCGGTCTAGTGACTCATCAAAAATGTTTCAATCAGCCCATAGTGTAAAAGGCCTCTACAAGCTAACATCTGCAGGAAATGGTAAATCTTCCCCAAGAGATGAAAAAATTAAAGTCATCTCTATCTCTGGTTGTTACCACATCCAATCCAGCATCTTCCTGTTTTTAGTCTCACAGTCATCTAGCCGTCCAGCATGTAACCGCAGCACCTCTTTTAAGCAGGTCTACAATTTCCTTTAAGCATCACTTGTGGTGAGTGAACTACTCAGTACGGCTCTTCTAGTTAGGGTTTTTGTGACTCGCCCAGACAACGGGGTGCAACTATCCAAACATAAGGTGCTTGTGGCCCACCAAGGGGACTGGATAGCTTGTTAGTAATGTAAATAAGATACATGGCACCCTTGCGGGAGTGGGACCATGGAAATAAGGTGTATGGAACCTTAATGTGAGATCAGTCAGTTTTGTCATGCTGCTAGGCTTAAAATGAACCCTTCGAAAGGTAGAGAAGGGGTCGCACTGCCATCGAGAGAGAAGCTAGGAGTGGAGGACATCTTTGGACCTGAGATCCCTGCACTGAGAACATGGCAGAAGCAGAACTGAGCAAGACAGAGCAGTGGACTCATGGGCCCACGAAGCAAGAAAACTGAGTGCCTATGGGCAGGAGGCTTGCTGGCAGAGTGGGGTGCACCTATCAGCAGACCTGAAAGAGTTTTGAAACACTTGCCTGAACAGGGCAGAGGTGAGGCTGAGAAGCTAAGGGCCAGAGAGACGTGCCTTCAGGCATGGCCGAGGGGAACCTGTCCGGATTTAATAATTGTACGCTGTGCATTCCTGCACCTGAGTAGTAATCTGCTACCTCCCTAATAAACCCCATAATCGTCTGTGAGTTCTGTGTGGCCATTGTAACGAATTATTGAACCCAGCAGAGAAGCAGAGAGTGCTGTGGGAGGGACAATTTGTCTCAGAATAGGTAAAAAGATTGGTGGGTGGTAGCATGTCTGATTTTCATCTCATAGCAATCAGCCATGGGCTATTGCTGTTGATTTTTTTCTCTGTCCCCGCTGTGAAGCTGGAGGAGATTGGAAGATGCCACCTTCCCATCCTTTTTGCATCACTGATCAACAATGTAATGATTTGCATTCTCCACTGTTTACTATAGTCATGCTCCTTTATAACCATTCACAACATCTTAAAGATACAGGTAGAGAGTACAGAGTCAGATTTAAACTCTCAATTGCAAATGATTCTTCAGTGCCCATTTTTCTTGAATTTCAATTTTACAGCTCCTTTTAAAATTTAAATTATATACATTAAAAATGAGAGAATTTATTAATCATACCATATATGGAAATGTTTCCTTTCGTCTCAGGAATAATATCTGATATTCTGGTTAACTTGTTAGAATGTGTCCATCCTGTAGGTCGAAAGGCCAAGATCTGATCGTACTTCCCACCACACTTCTTCAAATGTCTCTGTAAACCCTGTTAAATAAAAATAGCATTTTGATTTTATGCTCAATCAAGATGGGCTTTGTGGAATACAACAGATTGATTAAAGAGGCTGCATTGGCACAGCCTAAGGAGCTTTTACTTGTTAAGCCAGGAAACAACCTAGTGCTATGAATCTAGTAAATAAAATCTCTGAAAAGAAAAGTTTTCGCCTTTATTTATCTGAAGTTAAACAGACTTAAGAATAGCATGAAAAAAAAGTAAGAGGAGCAACTGTAAACATAAGTATGTTGAACAAATAAATAGCTACAAATAAAACAAATGCATGCACCCTCTCTCTCCAAATCCCACTACATAGAAATAGTAATGGTACAATCCATTGGTACAGTCCAAACCTATCTCCACGCACACATACCGACAGAAGACTGACAGATCTAGACAGACATGGTCTTGTGAGAGCAGCGGTGCACTCAATGCAGACGTGCATTGTAAGGATTCACAGCAGCACCCTTCCCAGATATTTACCTCCTTTGATATTCTGAACACAGACTAGAGGAAGTTAAAAACTTCTCACGCTGCTGTTAACTGGAAGTAACATCCTTCCCTTTAAACCTTGACTACAAAAGAACTTCCCCAAGCTGAAGTGATCATAAATGGTGACATCTGATGAAACTCCGGAAAACCACTGATCAAAGTTCGATTTTTGAAAGGTAAGAGAAATCCAATTAAAGATAACAATGGCAAAAGGGATACAGGAAATCGTAACACTTTTGGTCTTAAGACTAAAACCCAGAGATAAGCGTGAGTTTGTAATAAGATTCTAGTTTTATTCAAAAACTAAAAAAACCTAAACTGTACACAGTACCTTCTGGAATTTCCCAAAGTGTCTTTTTCTTCCTTAATCATATATACTTTGAAGTATTAACGTGTTCTAAAAGACGCTGGTATATAATTCTTAAGAAATCATAAAGATCCATCTATTCATCCATGCACCTCTTCATTCATTCATTCGATATTTTTCCAGTATTATGCTGGCATCAGACTGGGGAGGACAGACACAACCTCCCCTTCTCAAAGCTTACAGCCTAGAAGGGAGACGGCCAAAAAACCCCATCTCCTGTGTTGTTTTGAACAGAAAACAACCCCCCTTTCTTAGCTTTTTCTCCCTCTCCTCCTACACAAAACCATCAGTGTCTAGAGTCTTATAGACTGACCTTTTTACAAAGTTGTTGTTGTTGTTATGTGCCATCCAGTAGCAGGCTTTTAGTAGAAACTCCTAGAAGTGGAATCGTTGAATTACAAGGTTCACTCCTAACACATACTACTTTCAAAATGTGTAACATGCCAATTTGTCTGACTTTTCTCATCACAGGGATAGTGCCTTTGTAAAAATGCCTGCCCATTTGGTAGAAGACAAGTACATCATCACGTCTTTGTTTTTGTGATTGGATTACTGGCGTGAGGCTGAATATTTTCTGTTTATTACAACACATCTGTATTTCATTAATGAATTAATTCCTTGATTTCTCTGTTGTGTAAAACAATCTTTTATTAATCTGAAGTCACTGCAGGAACACTGACCATTAACAGTCTTGCCAACTACCATGGCCACAAAAAAAAAAAAAAAAAAAAAAAGTTTACGTTATCCCTGGGTCTGAAAATCTAGTTTTGGTCTTGGTTAGTTTAGGACCTAACTAATACAATGTTACCTGCTTCATTACTAAGCCTCCTTCTTTTGTCCCCTCCCCCTCAAGAAAGGAAACAGGAAACTGAGGTTCAGAGCAATTACTGGTGATTGCTGCCCATTCCTATTTGTCTCTGCAAAATCACTCAGGAGAATTGAATGAGAAATAATTTCTGCTTTTCATGAGACAAATTAACATAAAAATATCACTAACCTGTGCCCTACACAAAAACAAAAGACATTATCATGTAAGCTTAAACTTGGAAAAGATTGCAAATGGCCACTAGTGATCCATTAACCAATTTGAGGACTACTCTCATGAGGAATTTGGTAAGAATAATTCGTTGACATAAAATCCCTGACCAATGACTGGTCTCTGCTACTGACACCCAGTTGGTGAGAAAAATGCTTTTGGCATGTGCCACCGATTATTTTTCGGCACATGAATAATTATCAATAGCATCATTGTTATGTAAGGTTTTCCCACATTCCAGCAACCAAGTTTAAATCAGAGGTGGTAGTCAACTACACAGCACACACACGAACACAACTGTTGAGCCAGATAATGCGAATGGGTTTATGAGGTTTCAAAGGCTTTCAAGTGCACCTCAGAAACTCTGAAAAATTTACTAGGTTGACGTTTTCACAACAGGTCATTAGCTTTGATGCAATGAAACTATTTTTGGTTGGTAAAATCTTGGCTGTAATTACTAACTAAAATATAGCCTTTGGGTAGCCATCAGTTTCTGTTCCATATGTGTTTCGAAGATAAGAAATCTTCAAAAATGTCATTAGTATCTGGTCACTTTGAGAAGGAAAGGGAAGGGCTACTGAAGGCAGTAGCTACAGATGACAAATCCAGAAACAACACAGACTTAATGACCCAGATCATTCCTTTTTCAAGGACACTAGTCTTGAAAGAAAACAAAGGGTTCAGAAGGAATATTTCTTGGTGTCGTTAAAACCAATTTGAATTCCTATATAAAAATAATTGTACTTGAGTTTGTAGTTGTTTGATGATTTAGTTCTTGCACAAGTTTGAATTTATAAATATATGATCTCTAAAAGAAAACAATGTGTAATACAAAAAAAAAAAGAAAAGTCTGTAAGAGTTGTAGGTTGGGAGGGACTGTTAGGAGCAGTGGCCGTCTTCCTATTTAACGTGCCTTCCCAGAAACCACACTTCATTAATTATTTCTTTGTCCCACGTATCTTCAGTTTTTCCCTATCTATTGACTTCTTTCCCTCACATCATATTTCTTATCTCATAGATATAAACAATAACAACAAACCCCCAACTATGACCACCAATGCATTTGGCTTCTCTTCACAGCCACAGTCTATCCTTCAACCTTCCTGCCTAGCCTCGCGATCAATCTCTCTTTTTCCTTCAGTGTACAACTCAGTGGTTTTTTAGTGTATTCACAAAATTGGACAACCATCACCACTAATTCCAGAATATTTTCATCACCCCAAAAAGAAATGCTGTGCCCCATTCTCTCTTCCTCCAACCACTGGTGGCCATAAATCTACTTTTTGCCTCTATGGATTTGCTTCTTCTGGACCTTTCATGTACGTGGAATCATCCAACATGTGTCTCTTGTGTCTGGCTTCTTTCACACAGCATCGTGTTTTCAAGGTTCATCCATGTTGTAGATATTATCAATACTCATTCCTTTTTAAGGCTGAATAATATTCCATTGTATAGAGAGACCCACATTTTGTTCATCCATTCATTAGTTGATGGGTATTCAGGTTCTTTCTACTTCTTGGGTAATAATACTGGTAAGAACATGTATGTATATTTTTTTATTTTTGTTGGGTATGGACCTAGGAGTGGAATTGCTGGTCATATGGCAACTCCTTATATTTAACTTTTTGAGGAACTGCCAAACTGTTCTCCAAAGCAGATGTAGCATTTTACAATCCCACCAGCAATGAAGGAGGGTTCCATTTCTCCATATCCTCACCAACACTTGTTATTGCCCATCTTACCTTAAAATTAATTTGCATCATTGGTAGCAGATGAACCCACGTACTCTTCATGTCTGTAGTAATGAGGGAATTCATTTCTGGTATATTCAAACATTGTAATGTTGTATACTTTTCTTGGGACATGCCAACTTTTGAACCCAGAACATCAGCAATGGCTACAGCCAAGCAAAAGTTTAAAAATAGAAAAATTATAGATTATGAAAAAAATAATAAAGTTAAAACATATAAAATAATTATAATAGAATTTACCTAATAAGAAGACACTTAGAACATTCATACTTTTTATCATAACATCTCAGAAAGACTGAGTAATTCTGTTGGCAAACTGTGTGGAATATATTATGAGAAAGTAAAAGTTTTTTATTATTTGTCTTAAAATAAAAGATGCATAGAAGGGCGTAGAACAAAGGAAGGAACCCAATTTGGAGGAGTTAAAACTCTGGCTTTATCACTTAAGTCTTAAGGTTTGACACATGCAACCAAACTTAAGGTTTTGTTTGTTATATGCCATCGACTCCTACGATTCTGACTCACAGCAATGCTACAGGACAGAGTAGAACTGCCCCCCCGGGGGGGTTCCCAGGCTGTAATTTTTACAGGAGAAGATCACCAGGTCTGGTGGGATCGACTACTGATCCTTCAGGTAGCAGGCATGTGCTTAACCACTATACCACCAGGGCTCCTTAAGAAGGTTTTAGAAGCAAAAAAAGAAATAAAACTATTTTGCAAAATAATACAACACTATCTATATGAGCTATACAGTTACACACCCAGAAGTCTATTAGAAACCAACAATTATAGCTGTTCTCTAAAATAATTAACTGATGATTAACCTCAAGGAACACAGCTCTACAGCCGTGCTTGAGTCATCTTTCCAACTTTGTTAAAAGTACTAATATATCAATGTTTGCTCTATAAACATCTTGTAGCTATAAAGTTTAACATAAACACACTTATCAAATGTTTAAATGTATCAAACTCTACCAGATTTTCTGCAACTTCTAAGATAAAACTTAGCCATTTCAGGAAATATATATCAATCGCAAGATTAGAGATTGAAAGATTCTCTGCAAAGAGAATCTGATCTTTATAACACATTAATATAAATTAGACGCAGCTACCACCCACCGAGGAAGATTTTCTCTTTTCCTATAGAGTAAGTGCCACAGACAACAAGAGCACGTGGGTTTAGAGTTACAGTCTCAAAGGCAATGTTGATGGCAAATTGGATAACTTCTTGTTGAGACGGAAAGGAGTACTCTGGGCTGCAATACCTGTAGAAGGAAACATGGCGCTTACTAAAAGAACAGTAAGAAAGCCACAGCATTAAGTTGGATGCTAATTACTCACCACAGCATTATCATTTATTAACAACACTAGTTTCACGGCTTGTGGTTTGCCACTGAAAACCAAACCCACTGCCATCAAGTTGACTCTGACTTTTAGTGACTCTTTAGAACAGAGTAGAACTGCCCTATAGGGTCTCTAAGGCTGTAAATTTTTATAGAAGAAAACTGCCTCATCTTTTTCCCGCAGAGCAGCTGATGGGTTCAAATTGCCAACTTCTTAGTTAGCAGCCAAATGTCTTAACTACTATACCACCAGAGCTCCTGGTGTTACTAGCTATTGGTAATTTATGATGGAATTTTAAGTTTTCAATGGATCTTTTTCATTAAACCTCTTCTACCACCCTTAAGGGAACTCTGTTGCCATAATGCCTAAGGCATTTGACTGCTAAGCAAAAGGCTGGCGGTTCAAATCTACCAGCCACACCCCGGAAGGAAGAATGAGCAATCTACTTCTGTAGTGATACCACTTCAGAAACCCACGGAGGGGTTGCTTTGAGTTGGATCCAACTCCAGGGCAGTGAGTTTGGTGGGTTATTTTATTTTTGGTTTATCACCCTTAAATAATGAAATTGCCTTTTTGAAAACATTTTCTTTCTCAAAGAATATTTCCAGCCAGTTGGCTATTTTAATGATGAACTAATTCAAATGTCAATATTGTTTAAAAAAAAAAAAAAGCAAAAACAAACCCTTATCACTATCAAGGAAAATACTATTGATAGGATTACATTTAGACTGAAGAATCCCATTTCAATAAAGCAATTAAATGTGAATTTAATGAAGTAGTTTAAAATCAAACAGTTAATATTCAAGTGGTTGATACCTTCTCTTCTTAGGATGCACTGAAAACTTTCTTATTTAGTAAGGTAGGAATACAACAGACCCAGCTGGGGCCATCTCAAGATAAAAACACACAGTGAACAAATAACCCTAAGACTACTAGCCATTAAATGATCAGGTACATCAATGCAAAAGAATATACCCATGATCATATATGTTTGGCAGACGATATTTCTACATACCTATTTGTATGTGCTATGAGAACGCTCATATATATAAAAGAGCTACCAGGGCAGAGTTATGATAACTTCTTAGCCACAGCCAAACACCTTGAGGGAGTGAGTTGCTGGGCCTGCAGGCTGTGGACCATGGTCACAGGGGACATCAAGATTAACTGGCACAACGTACTACACAAAACATTGTTCTACATTCTACTTTTGTAAGTAGCTACTGGGGTCTTAAAAGCTTGCAAGCAGCCATCTAAGATGCAACAATTGGTCTCTTCTTGTCTGGAGCAATGAAGAATGAAGAAAATCAAAGATGCACGGCAAGAATGAGTCCAAGGACTAGTGGACCACGTGAACCTCAGTTACGTGATCCTGAGACCAGAAGAACTACATGGTACCCAGCTACCACTGCCAATCACTTGGAAAGGGATGAAAATAGAAGATTCTGGATAAAGTGGGAGAAAAACGTGGAACAAACTCAAAATCATAACAAAGACCAGGCTTACTGGTCCGATAAAGACCAGTGAAATTCCCAACACTATGGCCCCCAGCCACCCTTCGGGCCTGGAATTGACCTCACTCCTGTGGCTTCCAGGCAGACAGTGGATAGGCCTATAAGGTGAGCATTTACAGCAGATAGGTACACTCCTTAGAACAATCAACCATGGGAAATTAGGAGGGCCATGTTTGCACAGGGAGATAGCTCAGAGGGCAGGAATGCATAGGAAAGGAGGACACAGGGAAAAGGTAACCACAAGGAGGAAGTGGGAAGAGAGCTGTTACATTATGGGGCTTGCCATCAAAGTCATGAGACAAAATACATATGAACTGTTGAATGGAAAATGAATTTGCTCCGTAAACTTTCACCAAATCACAATCAAAACAAACAAGAATCCTTACTTAAAGAAATACAGAAGATTTACATAAAAACCAGACTACTAGCTATCTGCACGCACATAATCACATGAGGAAAATTATGCATCTTTTCACTAAAAAGGCATAAACTACACCAAGCAAACATATTTTTCCCAATTTTCAAAAATGTTTTTATTGGTTAACATCATAAAAGGAAAAGAAAACCTTACTCTTTTCTCTAAAAAAATCCTTTGAGAAATTCAGAATGCTATGTAGAATGAAACTAAACCAAAACCAAATTCACTGCCGAGTCAGTTCCAACTTCTAGTGACCCCTCTTTGGGTTTCCAAGGCGGTATCTCTATGGAAGTAGATTGCCCAACCTTCCTTCCGAGGAGAGGCTGGTGGGTTTGAACCGCCAGCCTTCTGGTTAGCAGTCAAATGCCTTATGCATTACATGAAGTAATGTGTGTTAGAAAATTGGATGTGGAAAGATCATCTGTAATTACAATATGTTGTATAAACTTCTCCTTGAAACAGTCTGAAATAGTTAACATAATTTCTAACAAACTGATGAGGTGCCTTAAAATGTAATAAAAAAGATAATGGCACATGCCACTGTATCTATACCCACCGTCATCGAGTCGATTCTGACTCATGGTGACCCCCACTGGGTTTCTGAGGTAGTATATCTTTATGGAAGTAGATTGCCCTGTCCTCCTTCTTTAGAGTGGCTGGTGGGTTTGAACCACCAACCTTCTGGTTAGCAGTCAAATGCCTTAGGGACCGTTCCACCAGAGCTCGTTAGGAATTCAAGGTTGTCACTTACAAATTTCCATTCTGAGTAAAGAACAAGTGTGACTTACATATTTTTAAATAGCATCAATCTGATAGCCTTAAAATGATACTTGACAATAAATCATCATTTTGATTGCCTAAGGAAATAATCAGAGTGCTCAAATTATTCCTGAATTACAGCGCAAACCTGTCAGTGGGAAAAGGAAGTACACAAATAAAGCTTCTCTTACGTTGTATCCAAGTAAAGCACATGGACTGTCTGGTTTGCAAGGAGGGAACGTTCCATAGTGGGGTCTGCTCTGAAGTCACCAGTGTGTAATATGACAGTTCCATTAGGAAGATAAAAAAGGATCATGACAGCACCTGGACAGCTGAACATAAACATGTTAAGAAATACTTTTAACACAAGCAAATCACCTACAGGAAGAAGAGCTATTTCAATATCAAGAAATTAACATGTATTAGCTGATCACAGTGACACAGCATTGCACCACAGAGGAAACAAAGCACTTTAACTGAAGGAAATTTACATCATTTAAAAAATAGGTGTGCAGCAGGCCTGGGTTGCTCAATGCCTGCATGGCCCCATGGCCTGCCTTCAGGACTGGATCTTGGGAAACGAGCTTTGAGCCGTTGGAATATTCTGTCTGATGAAAGTGTTTTTATATGTCTCACATCTCGAGCCATTAGATTGATCTGGTAGTTTATGTATCAATGTGATCTATGGTGAACCCTGGTTTTTACTCTGGGGTTTGGAGTCTGAGAAGCTGAGGTCACTCATGCAGGGGCTCCACGCCTGGGTGAAAACTCACTCACTGCCATCAGGTCGATTCAGACTCATAACAACCACCACTGGGTTTCCAAGACAGTAAATCTTTATGGAGGTACACTGCCCGGCCTTCCTTCCGCAGAGTGGCTGATGGGTTTGAACCGCCAACCTTCTGATTAGCAGTCAAATGCCTTAGGAACTATGTCACCAGAGCTCCTTCTGCCTGTTTGAGTGACCCCCAATAAAAATCCTAGATACTCAGGCTCAGTGGAGCAACACTTTGCATGTGTTGTCACCCATCACTGCGGGAGAATTAAGCACTCTTATGGAGCCCTGGAGGTACAATGGTTAAATGCTTGGCTGCTAACTGAAAAGTTGCTAGTTCGAACCCACCAGCAGCTCTGCAGGAGAAAGATCAAGCGATCTGCTCCTGTAAAAATTACAGAAACCCTATGGGGCAGGTTCTACTCAGTTACATGGGGTTGCTATGAATCCAAATTGTCACCTAATAACAACACGTAACTATTGAGAAAGAACTCCTGGAAATCATTACCTGATTTCTCCTGGACTTTATCCCAGGCACCCTTTCCCCTGCTGATTGTAATCTGTATCATTTCACTGTCATAAACTGTAACTGTGAGCACAAACATTTCTGAATTCTGCAAGCCTGGTGGTGGTCTGGGGACTCCAACACAGTGGGACTTATACATTACTGCCAAAACACACGAACCCTTTACTTTGAATTTTAAGAAAATACAGGAAATAAATTTGTAATTAAAATCCTTCCATCTAATCCCTCCATCCCCAAAATTAAGGCCCAAGTGATTTTACTGGGCAATTCTACCAAACACATAGAGAAGACATAGCACCAACTGACACATCACTGAAAAAATAGAGAAAGAGGGAAACAGAGTACTTCACAAGGCCAGCATTACTCTGATGCCAAAACCAGACAAAAGCATTACAAAAAAAAAAAAAAAAAAAAAACCTACAGACCGATATCCATCATGAAAACAGACACAAAAATCCTTAATAAAATATTAGTATATCAAAGCCAGATACATATTTTCAAAAGAGTAATATATTCTAGTTTTCACAGAAGCAGAGTTGATAGTTGCACTTATACAATATGAATGCCAATAGTATTTTATATTAAAAGGAAAAAATGGGAAGCATTTCCAAGAAAAATTTTCCATGGTTCGAGTATCAAAAGCTTGAAGGCTTTCTTAAACGAAAAAGAAAAAAATCCTTCTAATTTCCGTTATAGGCCGTTCATTTCTGTAAATGATGTTAAAGAAAACGGCAAAAGGTTATCTCGTGAAGCACAGCAGCAGCAACCCGTGGAAGTATTTCATTTTGTTTCCAGTAAGATGGAGTCTCATGTCAAGTACAGCACTCTAAACCAGAGAAAAAGACCGAGCGAGGACATTTAAAGGACACTCTACCTTTAATCTCTGGCTCTCTAATGGGGTACATTAGTTTTTCAAAAGAAGAAACATTTTACTCAAGTTATAAGAAATACCAAGCACTTAGTTGTAATAAAAAACCTTTTCAATAAACACATCATCTTTTTTTCCTTTTGGGTATTTAAAAACTAGGCTTTTACTGAGATAACTTTAACACTTACTGATTGGCGTCAAGCAAAACAACTTTGACACCATTCACTAAACATTCAGTGTCCACTGGTAATGGATGGATATATTGCTCTTGCACGTGAAGCTTGTTCTTCAACAAATTGCCAGTTATCTGCAAAACAGGACGTGCTGATGTAATAAAACACTAAACAAGGATTTTACTTCATATCTAGTTCAGAGTCAAAGCATCTTAGTAGTCTCCTTGTGTTTTGGTTACCTAGTGCCACTCTGACAAGAATATACCACAAATGGGATGCTTGGACAAACAGGAGTTTATTCTCTTACAGTTTGGAGGCTTTAAGTCTGAATTCAAAGTGCCAGGCTCTAGGGGCTGTGTGAAAGCCCCTTGACCTTGGGCATCAGCTCTGCCTCTTGCTCCCAGCCCATTGAAGCTAGAGGCATCTCTTCACTCAGACAGCTACTGGCTGCTGAAGCTAACGAGCCCAAGGTTGACAAATAAAATGGCACAGTCCTGATGTTACCAAACCACATGGCAGGTCATTAATTCAAATTCATTTTAAGTCCCAAGGTCAGCAGAGCATGGCAGGCTGCTGAACAACAACACAGCTACATGCAGGTTTCAAGCGTGCCATAAGCTAGAGACCATTCCCAACGTTGCTGCTTATATACAGGAAGCAGACCATATCCCTAAAGCAGCTACTCATCTGCTCCAATACATTCCACCATGGAGCTGATTACCAATTTTACCATGGGGAATAACTACATCCAGCTGCCCAGACACTCAACCAGACCCAGCCAAGGTGACACACAAACTTAACTACCACACCCTGCTCTCTCAGATTCAAGTCAACCCTCTACAATGGCAAGAAGGCAATCTTTCTAGAATGGCTGCGTCATTACTCTGCTAAGCATCAACACTACTTCTCCCTCATCCGTGAAAAGCCCATCACCCCCAGCAAGTCATACAAACCCCTTTGCGATCTGGCGCCTGCCGACTCCTCCTGTTCTAGCCTTTCTAACGTCTCTGAGGTGCCTGGAATGGAGACAGTGCTCAGGCACCCATGTCTTTGCACAAACTCTACCCTCTACCTGGAGTGTTCTCTCCTCCTTCCTCTGCGAGGTTCTAGAATCAGAATATGCATTTAAATTCCGACTCTGCCTTTACTAGGTTCTGCAATCTAGGGCACACCACTTCATCTCTTCAAACGTCAGTTGTTTCCTTAATAAAGAGAGTAACTCCAGACTGCTGTGAGGATTAATGAAATTGTAGCAAATGCACTTAGTAACAGGTATTCAAAGGTTCAGTTTTTAATAACTGGTTCAAGGTATCTCCATGAAACCTCCTCTAACCTTAGTCCTAGACAGTAAAGCACTCCCTTCTCCCCTTCCCTGGGCATTTGATTTGTTTTTTGATCACAATTTCACTGTGGATCTGTTTCCCCTGGAAGCTGTTTGCTCCTTGAAGTTAGGTATTTTGCCCTGCGTTATCTTTTCAGGCAGTCAATAAATGTTTGCTAAATGAAACATAGGTTTCTATGTACATAATAAAGTAGTTAACCTACTGTTTCCACATAATAAAGCATATTTTTAAAAAATCAACTATAACTGGTGACAGTAACTCATTTAATTATAGAACCTCAATTTGGAATCTGTTGTGTCTTTTCTAGTAGAAAAACATCTTATCATTTTAAATATTTTCTTTTTTAACCAAGTTGCTTGGAAATGATCGGCATTTCTACAAACTTGGAGTTTGGCATATTAAAACTGACCTCACTACAATACACTGGAGAAGTGAAGTTTCTAGACAAGCCAGCATAGTGATCAGAATGAAAATGTGTGAGGAAATAGGCAGTGCAGCCTTCAATCTGTCCATACTGAAAGGCATCAACGGTAAAGCCAGTTCCTGCAATGAAAACACAAAACACAGCAGGCTGAGCAAGAGTCCCGTTTAATTTTAAATATGGAGCCCTCTATCCCCTCCGTATCTCATTTCCAATTTAACTTTATAATTATTGGAAAACTTACACTCCACAAATTCAGCAAAAGGTGATACTAGAGATAAGTCTTGTAAGTTTCTGCTAAATATCTCAGAATAGAGATTTTTTTATGAAAAACTGCACCAAGTCAAAATACTAAGATGCAAACACATGATTAGCATATTTGTTTCACCCACTACTTCCACAGGAGCTCTGGTGGTGTAGTGCCTAAGGCACTTGACTGCTAACCAGAAGGCTGGAGGTTCAAACCCACCAGCCACTTCTCAGAAGGAAGGTTGGGCAATCTACTTCTGTGGTGATACCACCTCAGAAACCCAAGGAGGGGTTGCTACGAGTTGGTTCCGACTCCACAGCACATAACAACAACACAACAATATTTCCATGATCCTTAGCTCCTAAAATCCTTACGTCTGCAATAACCCAATGAGAAGAGGCTAGCTTTCTTCTAATATGTGAATTTTCAGTGAGGGTCATGCTGATTTGCTCTCAAGGGGGCAAATGGAAGATCAAAAAATTTTGGGATATTACAACCATCTGTGGCCCTCCAAAGGACCACAGTACAACAAAAGATAAACAGTGTATCTGTAGTGTTTTCATTTCATTGGGGGAAAGGAAAAGAAAGAACAAAGTGCTTAAAAAGGCTCCTCAGAGAAGCAACAGTAAGGAAGAAAAGGTTGAGAAACATTGTTCTACAGGTGATTGTGATATGCAAGTAAATAAGCACACTTTCACAATTCTGCTGGGGCTTATCAACATGTGGTTACGAGTTTTAGGCTCACTTAAAATAGAGGGAGTTCTGATGGTCTAGTGGAGTTACAAGAATACGAAAAAGCAGAGAAACTCAGTTCTAATGTTTGAAAATGTTTGGCATTTGTTATGGCATGTGTAACTCAGGCTAGTTCCCTTTCTGAAGCTTACTCATACTCTGTATTTCTCACAGTGCCTTTTACTACACAGAGATGCGCTTCCTCCTTCCTTAGGAAGTTGGATCCTGACCATTTTCTCACTAATCTTCCTATGATCTGTAATAGCTACCTAACCAGGGCAGTACCTTATCTGTAGACTATGCTTAATAAAGTTTGCTGAATTGAATGGAGCAAAAAGATCAGATGGGAAAAAAAAAAAACACCACTATTAGAGGCCCACGAAAGACACATGCCAAAAAATGTTGTTTCATACACACACACACGGGTAACAAGCATGAAAGTCAAAAATGTCGTTTGTGTTTCTGTAAATACATTAAGTACTGATATTTCAACTTACCAGGTATTTTCTTATAGAATGGGCATCTCCTTTTTCTTAATCCTCCTGTATTCGGTAATCCTGGGATTTTTGTACACCCCCTCTGCAGCCTGCCATCAGATGATTTTACGAAGACTTTGACTGTTCCAGATTCTGTATTGTTGATGTGATCTGACTTCCAAGATGCTCCTTCCTGGAGTGACTTTAACTTTTTACGTCTCTTTCTCTGACGCTGTGACCTTTCACTAGAAAGTTCCTCAAGGAGCTGACTCTCATTTATATTCTTTGCATCAAATTCTAAATCACTTAAAGAGCTTTCTGCTTTCCTCTTGCACCGCTGGGACCTCTTTCCATTAGGACTAACAACTGGATGCAAGTTCATCCCTTTTAATGCACTTTCCCCTGGCAATTTCTCTTCTTTCCTTTGGGGTGGTAGTCCAAAATACACACCTATATCCATTTGTTTCATTACCTTGTTAGAAGACTGTCTTGCACTACCCTTAGGACCAGATGGTACTATTTTCACAGACTTAGAAGCAGCAGGTGTACTAGGAAAATTTCCTGTATTTAAAACGGAAATGTTACTGTCTAGCACACCATGCAATGCCTCCCTGCAGAAACGTACTGAATTAGTATTACTCTTGGCATTAAAGTTCTCATTTGATAACTCTATCATTTTACTTGGGTTTAGATGGAAAGAAAGATGCTCTTCTCTCTGGATTTCCAAAGGGTTTGATATTTCATTTCCAAGTAATGAAAAAGAAACTTGACTATAAGCAGTTGATTCTTCAGTTGCCTGCTTCCATTTATTGGCTTGAGATGAGCGAAATGCCGGCTCATCAGGTTTTGCTTTTGTGACTAGGTAATTAGAAGCAACAAGTCCCCCTGGTGATGCAGGTGGAAACAACATAAAACGTTCACCACTACATGCTGGATCATCACACAAAGTAATATTCTCATTGTTTTGGGAAATAGGTTGAGATAAATCAGGTAGAGTATGGTATGTATACAATTCTTCATTGTACTTATCCTGAGTTAAGCAGCTATTCACCTCGGGGCAGCTATTTTTCTGGCCCTTCCCAAAGGGACCACGGAGATTTTTACACAAAGTAGAGCTGTTGTCATCTTCTTCTAGGCTTCCATCTTTCGAGCTTTCAGTGAAAAATAGCTCCTGTTGTGAATCATCCAGCTTTTCATCTCTATCAGCCGTTTCTTCATCACTTTGAAGTGGAGAATAGGAGATTTCACAGGTGCTGAAGTCATTTTCTGGCAGTGGCAAATGGACGTGTTCTGAGCAGTTTAATTCTTCATCAGCAAGAGGCAAGCCAACTGCTACCAGTTGGTCATTATTAACAAACTCAGTCAATTTTAGAGCTTGCTGGGACTTTTGAATATTTGCAGAAAAGGAAATCTTTTTGTTAGTTTCAGGTGGAGACTGAGATTTTTTCAGACACTGTGTCATCAAAAAGGGATCATTTGAAGTATTTTTTAAATTCTCAATTTGTTTCTGATTCAGAGACCATCTTTTTTCAAGGCTACATAGAAAGTCTGAATTAATCTCACTAGAACAATTCAAATGACCACCTGTTGAATGGGATGGGCTACTAAAAGAATCAGTACCTGCCCTACTTTGAGCAAGGAGAAGGTGAGTGTATCTCTGGTAATGAGAAGGAATTGTTGAGGTACATAGAAGACCTTCAGGACACTCTGAAAATTTTAATAAAGAAAAAAAGTGTTAGAGGATCAAAACAGAGACTAAGCTTTGATAGCATTAGCACTGTAAGTTGACATATAGTGGAAAATTATCAGTCCTACTCTGAGACCCTAAAACAGCAAGTAACTACAGGAATCAAAAGATAAGCAAAATGTCAACCCTTAATCCAGTATAGTTCTGCAAAGAGCTGTTCTTATTTTTAAAGCAAACTCTTTTCAATTTCTTTTCGCATAGTCTTTTCTCAAAAAATACATTTTAAAACTAACACCTTTTTCCCCCTTTCCTAAGTAACTTCCACAAATGTGAGTGCCTTCAAAAAATTAACCCAAGTCATGCTGGAATGGAGTATTTCTAAACAGGTGCTACAGATTGTCACCATCAATTTCACTAATTCAGTATCGCTCAGGCAATAAAAGAGGAAGGAGGACTGGTACTAAACACAAAACTAAAGTTATATTTTTAAGACTACCAATTTTTATCTTGTCAGGGAGTAAGATTTATAATTGTAGTACTGAATTAGATTCCATTATTTTTACATATACATTGCATATGAGTGTTAAAATAGTAACAATAAGATTAATAAATAACAGTAGCTGTTCATACACTGAACATTTTAGATTCTAAGATTTGAAATTCCATTTAATAGACTGGTTAATAAACCTGCTGCTGTTGCACTGACTGATTCACGGTGACCACGTGTGTTACAGACTAGAACCGGTCCACTGGGTTTTCTTGGCTATCAATTGTTGGGAATCGCTAGGCTTTCTTCTGCAATGGAGCTGCGTGGGTGTGAGCCACCAACCTTTCAGGTAGTTGTTGTTGTTGTTATGTGCCGTCAAGTCAGACCCAACTCATAGTGACCCCTATGTTAGTAGTCAAGCATAAATTGTGCCATCCAATGACCTACACTGGTTAACAGTAAAACTTTTAATAATCTGGGAACTATTCCCCACCCTATTGAGAAATATTCTATAAATCATCTTAGCACATCCCCACATGTTAATATTCAGATTAAAAAAAAAAAAGTGACATCTGTCCCAAAACAAGAAGTCATGTTAGTTACATTAGAAGCCTTCATTGCTTAAAACTGAACTTAAAATTGCCTCATAAAGTATCTGTGGACTATCGAGGAGTCCATCTTAAGATTCTATTCAAAGGAGTGAAGTCAGTGAAAAACCAATAGAGCATCTTTCTGAGGGGCTTCGTCTACAAGGCATTTCACTGAGTTCCCATGGGACTCCAATTTCCATTTCTGATAATGAAACACCTTAGAAGCAAAACTTAGCATTTGATGGAGTTATGATGTGCTAGAGTTCTTGTGCATCTTCATGCAGTACTTCAAAGTGATAACTAGGAGTTAATAAGAAGTTATTTTCAGAATCATTCATTAACATGAAACCACACTAGGAATTATTTTATCTTACTGAATACTAAATCTCGCAATGTAAAAATCTGTGGTATATATGATACCTACAAAGGAGAGAGGCATCACATCAACCCCTTCTCTACATATTCCAATCAGGATTTGCTATGTTAAATAGGACACATACATTATGTTCCAATATATTTTGTTGTTGTTGGTATCATGTGCCGTCGAGTCAGACCCGACTCATAGCGACCCAAAAGAGAGCAGTATTTCAGTTATCATTTGGCAAATTTTTATTATTAGCATCTTAATAACCTAAGACTCCTTCCCATTTCCTCTTTCTTATACATTAACTGGGAGCTCTAGTAGCATAGTGGCTAAGACACCTGACTGCTAACCAGAAGGCTGGTGGTTCAAACCCACTAGCCACTCCTCTGAAGGAAGATGGGGCAATCTACTTCCATAGTGATACTGCCTCAGAAACCCAAGGAGGGGTCGCTATGAGTTGGGTCTGATTCGATGGCACTTAACAACAACAATATACATTAACTAAAAAACTCACTGCCATCAAACGGGATCTGACTCATAGCGACCCCTCCTTGGGTTTCTGAGGCAATATCTCTACAGGTGTAGATTACCCAACCTTTCTTCCAAGGAGTGGCTAGTGGGTTTGAACTGCCAGGCTTCTGGTTAGTAGTTAAATGCCTATGGCAAATACAGCATGACCACACTTAGAATACCAGACTATATTCCAATTTTTCTATATAGTTTCATAAATTATGGCAAAATGGGTAAGTTACTTAATTTTTAAGAATACTCATCTATAAATTGTCAATACCACCTTCCTTACATGATGGTTGTGAGAATCAAGTAAACAGGATGAAAGTACCTAGCATAGTAGGTACTCAATGAACATTTATGAAAAGTAGTTGTTTTCAGATTTGCAATTTCCTTTATAATTATACGATTGTCTATTTGCTTTCTACCCGCTGTACATACACACAAAAAAGGCAAACCCACTACCATCAAGTTGATTCCGACTCATAGCAACCCCCATTGGGATTCCAAGGGAGCTCTGGTAGCATAGTGGCTAAGGCACTTGAATGCTAACCAGAAGGCTGGCGGTTCAAACCCACCGGCCACTCCTCGGAAGGAAGATGGGGCAATCTACTTCTGTAGTGATACTGCCTCGGAAACCCAAGGAGGGGGTCGCTATGAGTCGAGTCGGACTCGACGGCACATAACAACAACAAAAAATCTTTACTGAAGTAGATTGCCCCATTTTCCTCCCACAGTGCAGTTGGTGGGTTTGAACCACCAACCTTGTGGTTAGCAGTCAAATGCCTTAGGCACTGTACCACCAATAAAATATATTACCTTGTTTGCTTCCAGATTAAGTCACTTATACTTAAAGTGTCTCACCCCTCTTTTGGCCTATTGCTTGCCTTATTTGTTTCACTGAGCTGATATGTCTGACTGATATGCAGGCCTTTCAGACTATTTAGAGAATAAACATGGGGTCGACATGAGTCAGGGTTGACTCAGCAACAAGTGGTACCTATTTCTGCGATCTTACCTGTTTCTGAGAGCTGTGGAGAATCCAAACATTCAAAAACATGCCATCGAGGTGTTTGACCAAGCAAGGAGGAAAAAGGCATCTGGCAATTTGGACAGTATCCATCATAAACTGGACGTATCTTTGGGGATATTTGTTTGTTTTTGTGAGTTCTATGGCGCTTTGCTGGAGTGGTCTTATCTTGGGACTGCTGACTACTATCTCCACAACTTGAATCCTGATCAGAAGCTACAGAAGTCTGACTATGTGTTTCTCCAAGGCATATCTCATTGTCCTTTGCCTTCTCTTTAGCGTTCATGGTCCTTTTCGGTTCTTTTTTATTTCTGCTTTGTTTTGACTGGTAATTCCCCTCTGTTGCCTTTTCAACAGATTTTGGAATCTTTTCAGAGCCATTGTTTGGATGTACTGTTTTTGGTTTTCTTTTGGATTTGTATTCCCAGATGTCTTCGTCCAAAAGAGTGTCTTCTAACATGGCAAAATAATTGTGTCAGTAAAGAAGCACTAATCTTAACTGGGAGTCCATTTCTTGTTACAAAAATGTTAAACGGAATTCTTTTTCTGAAAAAATAACTAAAATAATGGAAAACTAACTCGAAAAGAATCTAAAGCTATGGTAATGTCTACATTAACAGACTTTAAACTTTACAACTGAGAATGCACGTGGTTCCATTTATACCACAATAAAATTAAGAGAACCTACCACAGGGCAGCATCTGAGAAGTTTTTCTTTGTGTGACTTTACCAGAACTTGATTCATAAAAATAAGAATCAGTAATACTTTGAAAATTAAGCACTAACGGGAAGCATAGGTTCAACAGCTTCATCCAAGAATGACGTTTGTGAAATTGTTATGAAGCTGCTGTCAGTTCTCCTTCCACTGAAGGATGGTCCGAATCACACCACGGTTCCTGAGTAAATGGCTGCTTCAGCTTACTAGTAATACTAGTCACAACAAGAAGGGTGAAAAGCAGAGAGAAGTGGAGTCGGCAAGAAATGGAATTGCCCTCATCAGCGACTCTTCAACAGTTCGGTTTCCTGGGTCAGTCCAGCCTCTTCTTCCGTCAGCAATGAATAAACACTGTACAATGAACAAAAGTCAAGTATGTGAAGTCATGCTTGTACTGTGGCCACACTCTAAACTCTGGACCATAGCGGTGGACCACCGTGATGGTGGCCGAGACTCTCAGCAAGCTCAAAATCGAGGTTCACCTGCCTGACGCTTCCCATCTGTTCTACCTTCTTTTTGCATGGCGGAGGCTGCAAGGCCAGTGGGGTCCCGACCATCTCTTAACCATGGTAGGCCGGCCGGATTGAAAAAAAAGGCGTCAGAGCCCTTCCCTTCTGAAGATTCAGAGGCAGGGCCCTCTGGAATCCTCACCGCAGCCCCCATGCACCCTCACCGCAGCCCAGACACCACCTGCGCCCCGGGGGAGCGGATCCACGCTCCAGCTGTGTCCGCTCCCCTCAGCGCCCCCCTCACCCGGCTCGGCTAACAATCTATTCGCGCCTGCACTTTCAGTATTACCAGGGCGACAAAATACTGTATTTGTGTATAATCCAAAGCAACTGGCCAGTCACTTCCAATTTAGAAAGCTTTCTTCCTTTAGTATATCTTTACCCCTTTACCTTTAGTCTCTTGGCGGGAACAGCTCCCCACTGCCAGTGCTGTGTCGAATCGGCTGATCCGTGTCTAAGAGCGGGAATTTAAAACGAATTTTAAAAATACTTATGCCCTTTTAAGTTCTACGAGTTTATTTTATTTATGTTCTGAAACACGCTAATTTCCAAAATGGAAGGTCGTGAAATAGTTTCTTAGCGCTTCTAAAACGTTGTCTCAGAAGCTTTCTCATGTTGAATCTGGCACGCTGAATGTCCAGGCTCAGCGGTGGCGAAAGGACCTGGAAGGGGCGGGGTGTTTTGAGATGATGTGTAATTACATGCCCGGGATTGCGACAGTTTGGACTTTGGCATTCGAATACAATTTTTGTATGCTTATTTGTTTTTAAGTGTCGTTAGCGTGTAGTGCGGTTGGTGGAGAGTGAAGTGAATGTGTCATTTTGAAACTAAAGGACAGTAAACGCTTCCTCGCCTCAAACTAGACTATCCCGCGGACCGGGTAGCCGCTTCTGGAGAGACCGGAGGGAACATGGCGTCCCCCGGAGCCCGGAGCTGCAGCCTCTCGGGCCTGCTCCCGGCTCAGACCTCGCTGGAATACGCCCTGCTCGACGCCCTTACTCAGCAAGAGAAAGACAGCCTAGTCTACCAGTATCTGCAGAAGGTGGACGGCTGGGAACAGGACTTATCAGTGCCTGAGATTCCGGAAGGTGAGGGGCTGGCTTCTGGGTAGGGAACCCTCTGGGGACCTCCCCTTCTCGGGGGATGGCGCCCTTCCTGAAGCTGTGGGCGAGGCCGGCTCCCGGGTTTGGCGCTTCGCCCCACCCTAGCGGCAGATCCTTTGCCCTTCTAGTCCCAGGTGTCTCGAAGCCGCGGAAGACGAAGGGTTTCGAGAGGCCGGAGAAATGCATATTCTTCTCTGTATCCAGAGTCCAGCCGGGAACCTGAACTTAACGGAGTAGACCTTCCGTGAATGCGTATTGGTCTGGATGACGTTGATTGAAATGCGCATGCTGCTCTGCCCTGACTGCTGTCTCCCAGCGTCATTGGCATCATTGTCTTTCTGCATCATCCTAACCTTTATTGATTACTTTCTGTGTGCGATACACAGTTCTGAGCACTTCAGATAGATTGTTTATTTAGTATCTACAGCCCAATGAGATACTTTTATTAGTTCTGTTTTGCTGTTGAGGAAACTGAGGCACGGATGTTAAGAATCTTGTCCAGGGCCTCACAGCTAATGAATGCTGGAATTGGATTATACAGACCCCGGCTTTGCGGGTTGCGTAGCCGTGCTGCATTTCTTTCAACGGCATGGGACTTTTTCTATTGTAAATCTCAATGTGCCTATCTCAAGGCAGATTGAATCCCGGCTCTGTGAAGAGTTTGGAACATGAGGAAGCAGATATTCCCCACAATGCTGTTTGGGAAGCCCATCTAGCTACGATAAATGAAACTGTACTTTCCCTTCTTTGGTGGGGACCGGTATTGTTTGCTCCTTGCTGTTGGCATGTCTCCTGGCAGGACACTGAAACCCCGTGTATAGTTAATTGGTTGAATGTGGTAGGGATCAGTTCTCTCCTGTGAGGTATAATGGAACCTTTGACAGCAGTCTTTGTTTCCAACCTCTTTGCACCTCCTTGAGAAGTGCTTATGTTTTCAGTTGTTAATCTATACTGGCTTTGAAATACTTAATTCTTAGCAAAAAAAAAAAAAAAAAAAAATTCAAGAATGCTTATGAAATCAAAAAAACTTAACTTTTTTTTTTTTTTTAACTTTTATTGTGATTACGTTAAAGTTTGCGGAGCAAGTTCACCTTCCATTCAACAATTCATACACGGTTTTGTGATGTTGATTCCAGTCTGCACAAAGCAGGAGCACTCTTGCCACTTTCTGCCTGTGTTTACTGATTCCATTAGTCCTTCTTTCCTTTCCCTTCCAGCCTTCTGAGCTTTATCCCTGGACAAATACTGCCCTTTTGATTTCATATCATTGTAATAGCACCCTGAATTAAGGTAGGAATCCCCCAAGACACCCCCCCCCCCACGTAAGGTGGTACTTAATGCTAAGCTAAAACTCCATTTTGAATCAAAAGTAGCCTCTGGGTCAGAAATATAGCCTCTCATTCCTGTCAGTCTTCACTGGACCCTGAGAAAATTACTTGGTAAACTATTTCAGAAAACAGTGTAATTTCGTTTGCTTACAGGTTTTATTTGTTACCTAGGAAGCCAGATCCAAAAGAATCCTCAGAACAGATGCCTACTCAAAACAAACTTTAGAATTATGCATGTCCTCCCTGCAGTCACACAGAGTCTAATGATTGTTTTGAGGCCAGATGTACCCAATGTAATGATTACTTTCTAATTTTAAAAAGCACATTTAGAAACATGTAATTTCCTACCAAGCAGATATACCATCACCCAATTTTGTAACCATTACCTAAATGTCAACGGTCACTGAATTTTTACCAAATTTCTTTATATTCTCTTATGTAAACTCTGAACTGTCTCCTCCTTGGATCACTTTTGTTCACAATCCTTTGGGCTTTATGATTCCCAGTTTGCAAATTAAAGCTCTTTACTGCTAATTTCAATCGGACTCTGCCATTTTTTCTGTACAACAGTTAATTGTTTTAAGGAGTGCATACCTACCTGGTGTTATTATTCACCTTGTAGGCTCATCTGTCCTTTGGCTGAAAGTTGAGCCACAGGAGTGAGTTCAGTTTCAGGTCTGAAGAGCTGTCAGAAACTTTAAACGGCTAGATGTTCAGCTACTAGCTGAAAGGTTAGTGACCGAAGCCCACCTAGAAGTGTTTTCCATCACTCATTTGTCAGTTTGTCTTACGTGGTAGCTTCCTTGTTGCTGTGATGTTGGACACTATGCCATTGATCCATTAGACGGATCTTAGCTGAAAGTAAAGAATACTAGAAGATGTTCTGGGTTTTATTGACTATGAAAAGGCGTTCAGCTGTGTAGATCTTAACAGATTATTAATAACATTGCAAAGAATGGGAATTCCAGAATAATTGTACTCATGAGGAACCTGTGCATAGACCAAAAGGATACTCCAAAAAAAAGAAAAAAAAAAAAAAAACTAAACTCACTGCCATCAAGTCAATTTCAAGTCATAGCGACCCCTTTGGGTTTCCAAGGTGGTATATCTTTACAGAAGGTGATTGCCCAGTCTTCCTTCTGTGGAATGGCTAATGAGTTTGAATCACCAACCTTCTGGTTAGCAGTCAAAAGCCTTAGGTATTATGCCCCCAGAGCTCAAGAGGATACTGATACTTGAATGGTTTAAAATCAGGAAAGTTGTGTGTCAGCGTTGTATCCAGTCACCATAGTTAATCCATCTATATGCTGAGCACATAATCTGAGAAGCTGGACTAGATGAAGAAGAACGTGGCATCAAAATTGGAGGAAGACTCATTAACAACCTGTGGTATGCATGTGACACAACCTTGTTTGTGGAAAGTGAAGATGACCTGAAGTACTTACTGATAAAGATAAAAAACTACAGTCTTCAGTGTGGGTTACACCTCAACATAGAGAAAACAAAAATCCTTTCAAATTGACTAATAAGCAAGATCATCATAAATGCAGAAAAGATTGAAGTTGTCAAGGATTTCATTTTACTTGGATTCACAGTCAGTGCCCATGGAAGCAGCAGTCAGGAAATCAGATGTGATATTGCACTGGGCAGATCTGCTGCACACGACCTCGTTAAAGTGTTAAAAAAGCGAAGATACCATTTTGTAGAGTTAGATACACCTGACTTAAGCCACAATATTTTCAGTAGCCTCATATGTGTGTGACAGCTGGAAAATGAATAAGGAAGACCGAAGAATTGATGCATTTGAATTGTGGTGTTGGCGAAGAATACTAAAATTATCATGGGCTGCTAGAAGAACAAACAAATGTGTCTTCTCATCTGCTTTGGTCATGCTGTCAGAAGGAACCAGTTCCTGGAGAAGATATCATGCTTGGTAAAGTAGAGGGTCTGTGAAAAAGGAGAAGACCCTCCACAAGATGGTGACAAGGTGGTGCAGCAGTGGATTCGTGCACAGCAAATGTGAGGATGGCACAGCAGTAGGCCTTGTTTCATTCCATTGTGTCAAGGTCACTGTCAGTCAGAACCGACTAGACAACACCTAATAACATCCAACAACAGAGGCCCCTTGGAAGACAGGCCTTGTGATCTACTTCACAAAGAACACAGTCTTGGAAATCCTGTGGAGCAGTTCTACTCTGCGCGCACTGGGTTGCCGTAAGTCGGAATCAATTCAATAGCAACAGCCACAGCAGTTCTTAAGTTCCACCTTCGTTCTCAATAACTCATTTGTACCTAATTATGTGTGTAACTGTTGTTGTTGTTATGTGCCTCAAATCGACCCAACTCATAGCGACCCCTCCTTGGGTTTCCGAGGCAGTATCACTACGGAAGTAGATTGCCCAACCTTCCTTCCGAGGAGTGGCTGGTGGGTTTGAACCTCCAGCCTTCTGGTTAGCAGTCAAGTGCCTTAGGCACTATGCTACCAAAGCCACTGTGTATATAATTAGGTGGTCCTCTGGTAGCATAGTGCCTAAGGCACTTGACTACTAACCAGAAGGCTGGTGGTTCAATCCCACCAGCCACTCCTTGGAAGGAAGGTTGGGCAATCTACTTCCGTAGTGATTCTGCCTCAGAAACCCAAGGAGGGGTCGCTATGAGTCGGTTCCAACTTGACAGCACATAACAACAACGTTTGATATGGAGCTCTGGTGGCATAGTGCCTAAGGCATTTAACTGCTAACCAGAAGGTTTGCAGTTCAAACCCACCAGCCACTCTGAGGAAGGAAGACTAGGCAATCTGCTCCCATAAAGATTTACCTCCTTGGGAACCCCAGGGGGTCACTATGAGTCAAAATTGGTTCAATTGCAGTGAATTTAATATTTGATATTTCCTCTTGTTTTTGCCTACGTGTGTTGATTTTTCCCTCATCACACATACAATTACAGCTTTTTCTTACTGTATTTAGTTCTGGTGGCACAGGAGTTAAAGCATTTGACTGTTAACCTAAAGATCAGTAGTTTGAACTCACCAGTCACTCTGAGGGAGAAAGATGGGGCAGTCTGCTTCTATAAAGATTTAGAGCCTTGGAAGCCTTATGGGCAGTTCTACTCTGTCCTATAGGGTTGCTATGAGTCAGAATTGACTTAGTAGTAGTGGATTTGGTTTGGTTTCATAATAGCAGCTTCCCATTCTCCCTCCTTCCTCCACCCCCTCTTTTTCATCTTTCTTCTGTCTTTGGGCCTTTACTCTTTATGGACTTACCTTATTTTCTTTTTCTTTATAAATACTTGTGTTATCACAGTCATGAAGATACATCATTCCTTTAATTTTTACTGTTTATTGTTTGAAAGGGGTGGTTTTTAATAAAATAAGAAACATGAATTGTATAAAAATAAAATTAATAAATTCAGTTGCCACAGCCTATAAATAATGCTGTCATCTCGAGGTTTTTGTTTCACTAGCCTTAGAAAAAAAAAATGGTTCACACTTTAATGGAAAGTTTTACACAAATTATCTCTATCTCTTTGTCTTTTTCTGTAATCATTGTATTCTATTTGGGCAAATTTCAGGATTAGAATGGCTGAACACAGAAGGACCTATTTCTGTCTACAAGGATCTGTGTGGAAAAGTGGTCGTCCTTGATTTTTTCACCTACTGCTGCATCAACTGTATTCACCTATTGCCTGATCTGCACACGTTAGAACACACATACTCGGATAAAGGTATCTGCCTTTTAATTCGTTTCTAAGAAACTGTCTTTGCCTGGGCACTGGAAGACTAGCTGATGTAGTTGCTCATAGGAAAATGCACGTCAAGACTCAATGATTCTAAAAGCAATTTCTAATCTATGAAGTAGTGCTGTGCCCCATGTGCCTCGGAGGATTAAGCTTAGAGGTAACGCTTTGCCTAAAAAATCAGCACTTAGTGTATGTTTCTCTCTGGGAATAATGCCATAATTTACTTTTTTTTTTTTTTTTCTCTTAACGATCACCAGCTCCCCAAGTAACAAAAATTATGCTTTCAACATTTGGTGTCGATTCCGCACGTAGAGAAATAGAGATGCCCTATGTGTGCCATTTCATGACAGAAGACCCTTTTTGGCATAATTTACTTTTTTACGACAAAATTTTTAAAAAGGTCTTTTTTGTGTGTCTAGATTCACTAAAGGAGCTCTTATGGTACAGTAATTAAAGCATTTAGCTGCTAACCAAAAGGTTGGTGGTTCAAACCCACCAGCAGCTCCACGGGAGAAGTGGCAGTCTGCTTCTATAGACATTTATAGCCTTGGAAACCTTATGGGGAAGTTCTAGTCTGCCATATAGGGTAACTGTGAGTTGGAATTGACTCGATGGCAGTCGGGTTTTTTTTTTAGACTCCCTAAAATGATATTCTGTGAAAAAATAAAATGTATGACCCTAATTTTATACTCTTCTAACTGTGATATAAGGAAATGTGATGAGGCTTAATTTCAAATGATGTGAACTACCCTGGAATGAAAAATATTATAGCATACTTTTTCCTTGTCCCTATTTCATTATGAAATGATTTATAAATGTTAATGTTTTCAAAGCAAATTGGGAAATTCTTGTTTAAAGTATTACAAATTCTGAAGATAAAAGAAGTTATACTTTGTTCTAGGAAAAAAAAATGTTTAAAAAAATCGGAGCTTTTTTCTTTTTTTCTTATTTACCTCTTTCTAAAAAGAGAACATAGGGGGAAAGGAACCTAATTACAGGTTACACTTACTTAGGTTTAAATAAATTCCTTGAACCCTTTTCTTAGGATAGATAAAAAAGGAGAGTCTCCGATCTTATTAGAATAAAGATGAGACTAGACTCTATATGTACAAAAATGAAGTATGTCTTGAAATTTAGTAAGAAAAAGAGTTACAGATAAAATCTTCAGTGCAAGTGAAATTGCCCATCAGTAAGATTTGTTGAGAACTCAGATATTTTCATTAGCTAAATCATATTTTCAAAAATTCATACAGCAACTTACAGGAAGATACTTACATAAACAGGTCTGATATCCAGGGGCTGACTACAGAGCAGACTTATCAATTGCTCAATTTCAAGAAAAGCTGAAAAAAAAAAAACAAGTCCATGAGAACCAGAATGCAACCTTAAGTATATCCCACCTGAATTTAGAGACCATCTCTGGATAGATTTAATATATTTAACACTAATGACTGAAGACCAGATGAGTTGTGGGATGACATCAAGGAAATCATACATAAAGAAAGAAAAGGTTATTAAAAAGACAGTGAAGAAAGAAAAAGACCAAAACAGGTCTCAGAAGTGACTCTGAAACTTGCTTTTGAATGTGGAATAGTTAAAGCAAATGAAAGAAATGATGAAATAAAAGAACCAAACAGAAGATTTCAAAGAGTGGCTTTAGAAGACAAAGTATGACAATGAAGTGTCCAAAGACCAGGAGTTAGAAAACCAAAAAGGAAGAACATACTCAGCATTTCTCAAGATGAAGGAACTGAAATAAAATGGCCTTGAGTTGCAATATTGAAGGATTCTATGGTCGAAATATTCAACGATACAGGCAACATCAAGGGAAGATGGGCAGAAAAACAGTCACACTACCAACAAGAATTGGTTGATGAGCAACCATTTTAGGAGGTAGCATATAATTGCATATGATCAGGAACCTATGGTATGGAAGGAAATTCAAGCTGCACTGAAGGCACTGGCAAAAAACAAGCTCCTGGAAGTTATAGAATACCAATTGAGATAGTTCAACAAGTGGATACAATGCTGGGAGCACTCACTTCTGTATGCTAAGAAAGTCGAAGATAGCTCCTTGGCCAGCTGACTGGAAGAGACTCATATTTGTGCCCATTCCAAAGAAAAGTGATCCAAAAGAATGTGGAAATAATCATATACTATCATCAGTATCAAACACAAATAAAATTTTGCTGAAGATAATTCAAAAATGATTGCATCAGTACATTGACAACTGCAGAAATTTAAGCTGTATTCAGAAAAGGATGTGGAATAAGGGATATCATTGCTGGTGTCAGATAGATCTTGGCTGAAAGCAGAGAATACCAGAAAAATGTTTACTGGTGTTTTATGGACTATGCAAAAGGTCTTTGACATAAATTATGGACAACATTGCAAAGAATGGGAATTTCAGAACACTTAATTGTGCTCATGAGGAACCTATACATAGACCAAGAGGCAGTCATTCAAACAGAACAAGGGATGCTGCATGCATTAAAATCAGGAATGGTGTGTGTCAGGGTTGTATCCTTTTACCATGCTTATTCAGTCCGTATGCTGAGCAAATTGAGAAGCTGGAGTATTTGAAGAAGAATGCAACATCACAACTGGAGGAAGACTTATTATCAACCTGCATTATGCAGATGACACAACCTTGCTTGCTAAAAGCCAAGAGAATTTGAAGAACTTATTGATGATGATCAAAGACTACAGCCTTCACCTCAACATAAAATAAAAATCCTCACAATTGGACCAGTAAGCAACATCATGATAAGCAGAGAAAAGACTGATGTTTTTAAAGATTCTCTTTACTTGGATCCATAGTCAGCATCCATGGAAGAGCAGTCAAGAAATCAAAGGGCATACTGTACTAGGTGAATCTCTTGCAAAACCAAACCCAGTGCCATCAAGTCGGTTGCAGCTTGTAGCAACCCCCTTTGGGTTTCCAAGGCTGTGTAAATCTTTATGGAAGTAAGCTGCCATCTAGATGCAACAATAGGTCTCACCTTGTTCAAAGCCAAGAAGAATGAAGAAAATAAAAAATTCATGGAAACAATTAGTCCTAATGACTGGTACACCAAACGATCTGCA